GCGGAGGAGGTGGCGGAGGCGACGACAGAGGTGCCGGAGGAGGTGGCAGAGGAGGTGGCGGAGGACGTGGCGGAGGCGACGACATAGGTGTCGAAGGAGGAGGCGGAGGAGGTGGCGGAGGAGGTGGCGGAGGAGGTGGTGGAGTAGGTGGCGGAGGCGACGACTGTGGTGCCAGAGGAGGTGGCGGCGACGAGGGAGATGACGACAGAGGTCACAGAGGAGGTGGCGGCGACGCGGGAGGTGACGACAGAGTTGAGGGGTGTGAGGGTGACTTTCCTGTGCGTGGTCGTGGGTTCTTCTTGAAGCGGTTGAGACACGGTCCCAGGCAGGAGAACAACATCGGCTCTCGTGTGTGCAGGCGTCGTCTTGAAACTCTTCACGATGCGACCGCCACGGACGCACGTGTTGCGCAACACGAGCAGGTTCTCGTGTCTGAGGACTCCCTAGGCGACACATCGGACAAGGACTTCATTCCTCAGACTTCCGACGTGAGAGGCGTTGAGCATCAACCCGATTTCGTCGAGGGCCCGACCAAGTCTGCAGCGACGATTTCAGCGCAGGAGGAGAGTGGAGCAGGGTTGACTTGTCCCGAGCTTGCGGCACCCATTGTAGATACTGCGGTCGCACAAGAGTCCCATCGCCATCTGACACAACCCACGGTCGCGGTTCATGCGCAAGCTCGAGGAGTGGCAGCCAGTGATGGGCAGACAATTCCCGACGGTGAAGGGAATGTGCCACCTCCTTCCACCGTCGCCTGCACGGGCGCCCATGGGGCACCCAGCATCGCGGTCCCCTCCATAGGCGAGGTAGCACATCCTCCCACGGCTGACGTTGGTTTGGAGGACGGAGAGGTAACACATCCTCCCACGGTTGACATTGGTTTGGAGGACGGAGAGGTTGCACGTACTCCCAATTGTGCCCATGAGGGAGAGGTTGCACGTCCTGCCACGGTCAACCACGTTGGCCTCGCCTTCCCCGCTGAAAGTCTTCCGCCCACTGCGGAGTTGCTCGCCATGGAGTCGGCGTTGTTTGATCTTCCTGATGTATCGACTTTGATTTCTCCCACTTTGGCATTTGTGGCACCACCAGCGACTGGTCGAGCGGATGACGCGGATGGAGTGCGTAGAGGATTCGACGAGTTTGCTGGTGACACGATATTGCATCCTGCAGTCTCCGCCACTCCCGCCGTTTTTCATGTTGGGGCACTGCACGCGGTGGACCAGGGTTTGGCACAGCAGGTGGCACAGAACCGCCCTGGCGGCCCTCGCGTCGTGGCGCAACGCAGTTTGGGAGATTCATTTGAGAGATTGGAATGCAGAGTATGCGGCGCAGGAGGGTCATTGTGCACAGGATTCCGCACGCGATGGGTCATCATTCCCGGCAGTCTCTCAGGAAGACCCGCACCCAGGCCCGCCACGTTCGGTGCAGGAGACGACTCCCGGCGTTGTCGCCGCGGACGTGGATGAGGAAATGCGCAGGGATGGTACCGTGCACGTTGCAGCGCAACGCAGTCTGGCACGGACATTGACCACAGATGGTAGCGTGCCTGCTCGCAGCACTGGGTCGCACTACGAGAATAGAGGGTCATCGGCCGCACAGCCTATCGCTGAGGGGGCCATCGCACGTGGTRTCGAAGGCGAGCATAGGTGTCACGCGCCTTCSCACCCCCATGGYGCAKACCCTGTCGTCCACGGTGTSGCGGCGAGCACCGCATTGCCSACGGTGTCGTTCTACGACGGCGTGACGAGGGACCGGAGGGCAGGCGATGAGGGACATGCATCAGCATGCGGACTGACAGATGTGCGTGCGGGGATGCGATCCATAGGCCGCGTCRATGGTGGTTGTCACRACTCCATGAGAGCATACGAGGAGCGACATGGGAGGCCTTTGMGGGCCAAGACAACGGATGTCCAYGACACGAGGACGGCGACCGCGAGGTTATCCCGGGCGAGGAAGAAGGGGACAGGTGCATCGATTCCATATCACCGTCGCCGTCCACCACCGACTTTTYACGCCAGAGCTCCGACCACACAGATTCCGGCGACTGGCGGGGCAGTGGCGGATGGGGGGACAGTCCAATGTCGTTCAGGGCAAGTCGAGAAGAGACGAGGCGATGTGGTGATTTACCATGATGACAGCTCCACAGCCGCGGAGGCTGGCGAGACCACAGGCGCCGACGATCCAGGTGACTCCGATTATGTGCCCCGGCGCCCGGCGGCGGATGGAGATGATGGTGGAGGTCGGCGCGTCTGGTAGAGGACAGGACTCGACCAGCACAGGCAGGGGACGCCATCGGACCCTATACCGCCTATTGATCGACAGGCGCAGGCTCAGTCTGTGATAGCCAAACTGTATCATTACCGGTCTGAGCCTTCGTAGCAGGATGCAGGTTTGTAACCGCCTATTGATCGACAGGCGCAAGCTCAGTCTGTGAATTTTGCATACAGGCTTTCGCAGCGGGGTGCAGGTGGTGACACGGGTTCAATATTTAGGTGGCGTTGGGTTTTACCTTGGGTCCTGTGTTCTTTTTTTGCGACTCTCACTGTGTGGGACGGAGGAAGTGTGAGGCGCTCCCTCTCTGAGACTAGTGCAATGACTTGCTGATTCTGACTGCCGAGACTGCTTGCGAGGTTGTACAACGACCCGTAGGTTAGATTTGTGATTTTGTTTGGCTGAGGGCTAAACCGAGAGACCTACCTATAAGGAAATTCGTGAGGGACATATCTGTAAATTTGGAAAAATAGAGTCGCAACACTAACTGGATTTCCTATTACTACCCTAACTGCAAATAGCAGGCTGCCCTATGGGCCTATGCTGATAGACGGTCCTATAGCCTATAGCTGGGTCCGGTAGAGGCCGGGAGGCTGAAACAGAAACGGTACTGGTCGGTCAGTCAGAGTGGTCTACGTGTAGGCTAGAGTAGCTGTAGCCTGTAGTGACTGTAGACTGCAGTCTATTAATAGGTTAGGCCCTTCGGTATCTGCGTATGGCCGGACTATATCGAGGCTCTACACTGTGTGTTCGTACGTGGTGGCAGCCATAGCTGCCTGGTACTTCGTCTGAGTTGTCCATCGGCACTGAAGACTTCATCGCAGGATCTGTTCTTCATCACGGTGGTTGGCGCTAGCCTCAGGGAGGTTGTTTTGATGTGGCGCTACTAACTGGGTGTAGGATAGAGAGTGGGGTGTGAGTTCTGGGAGTGGCGAGATACTGGAACAAACTCTGTGACGATATTTTAGTTGAGTGGCTCATCATCTGTGTGATTTCAATTGCCATCCTCGCAGGTTCTTCTTGTGATTGGTTGTTGGGAGTTTGTCAGAGAGTAAGAAACACTGCGTGTCTTCTGAGCTCTTATCCCCATCTGTGCATGGTTGAATTCCGCTGTCTACTCTGATCTGTGTGCAGTTTGGACTGTGTCTCCTCTTCCCCTTCTCTCGTGCATGTATGGGCGTGTATGAGACGGTCTGTGTGTGAGTGGCGGTAAAAATCGGCAGACAACCAAGTTCATAACACAGAATAAGGATTTTTTTTTATTTTTATTTTTTTTTATAACTACACTATGTTCTTCTCTAAAATTGTTTTTGCCTTTCACTACCTACTCCTGTGGGAGAGTGTTGGCCATGGCCCATAGGCCCATAGCCTTTGCTGCTACTCGATGAGGGGTGGGGGACGATGAGAAAGGGAGGCCCTATGCTTGCAGGGTACCCGCGTGGCCGCGCCCACCAACCCCCTCAAACCCTTTAGGGCCCCCAGTGCCCCCCACACTCAAAGTTGCAGGGTACCCGCGGGGCCGCGCCCACCAACCCCCTCAAACCCACTAGGGCCCCCAGTGCCCCCCACAC